GCTGTATGTGTAGTGTTCGTGTATCTGTATTCGGTTATGTGTGCATATGTGTGTATGGATGTACATATGTATATGTATAATATGTAAATGTAAATTTACATGTACATGTCTATGTATACGTAGACACAGGCACACACACACACCACGTGTATATACATACATGCGTACATACATACATACATGCATGCATACATACATACATGACTGCATACATACATACGTCCATACATACATACATACGTACATACATACATACATGCATACACACACACACATGTACACGCATATGTACATACGTGCACACACATATTACACATGTACTCGTCTATCCATCCGTCCATCCATGCATGCATGCAGATATGCATGCACACATGTTTCTAGTTGTTTTTGTCTGTCAACTCCATCTGTGTGTTAGCATGTAGATGTTGACATCTGCATGTCTTCTTGTTTCCATATCCATATGTGGCCCAACATGACATTGAAGCTGGGCTTGAGGTCCGGGTATTAAGGCTCGGTGGCGGCCGTATGAGCTTAAGACGCGACACCAGGGGGCAGAAGGATCTCCCGCACATGTGCATAACTACCCAAACCCCCAAAGTAGATCCCTTAATGGGGGGTTCCTATAAAGTACCCTTAGTAGTATAAGGCCCCAAATTAGGGGATCTACTTTCTAGATCCTCCCGGGGGTCTGGGTAGTTTCCCCTGCAAAGTGGGTCAGGTAACAACGCTGAGCTGCCTCGGACTCGACTAATACTGGTATAATAGGAATATAGTAGGGCCCTACTATAATCCTGAGAGTCACTCTTACAGGGTGGGGGCCCCTTCTAACATAGACTATGCAAGGGCCCTTCCTGTCTACGAAGCTACATGGGTGGTTCTCAAAATTAGGGTATCTTTTTCGGGTCCTTAATAGAAAACGGCACCGAATATTTAAGGTACCCAACAAGGAACCCTAATTTCGACAGCCACCGGGACCCTAATATGGCACCATAAACAGTAGGATCCTTATTATAAGGACCCCAAATAAGGTACCCCTAATTTTCGGAAACTCCCATATTGAGGTTCCCTAACCTAAACCCTAAACCCTATAGATCCCTTCTAGGAACCCTTGAAGCAACCCTTTTAGATCCCTCATCTTGACAACCACCCCCATGGGATACTTGAGGGAACTTGGCTGACTTCTGAACCCCTCCCAAAAGATATTTTTTTTAGCCTCCTTTTTATAGTTCATATAGAAGCCCAAAAAAGTACAGTCCTAAATCCCCAAAACCCTAACCCCTATAGATCCCTTATAGGAGCCACCCTTAAGGACCCCCTTAAAGTCTAAAGAGCCAGCCAGAAGAACGCCAAGAAGATATTGAAGTTCCCTAAACCCTAAACCCTATAGTATCCCCTATAGGAACCCTTATAGATCCCTTTTAAGGAACCCTATAACCCCCTGTAGCCCTTTTTAGGAAGAACGCCAAGGGAAGTCTTAAACTCCAAACCCAGCCTCAAGCCTGCAGGCCTGGGAGGCTGGGTATAATGTAGGCACGGTTTAAACCTTTAAAGGGGGATCTATATAGGGGATACTATAAAGGTACTACTAGTATGATGTATGGGGACCTTATAGGGGGATCTATATAGGGGATACTATAAGGGTACTATGATATAGAGCCTTTGTGGGGTTTTGGGGTATATTGGGCCTTTAAGTTATCTTAGGGGATACTATAAAGGTACTACTAGAATGATGTATGGGGACCTTATAGGGTTTGGGGGGGTATATTGGGCCTTTAAGGGATCCTTAAGGGTTCCTGTTTCCTGTAATGGATCTGTAGGGTTCCTTTTGGGGTCTATGTATCATGTAGGAACCTGAGACTCCAAGATCCCTCAAGGAATACCAGGGATTCCTTTCAAGGGGTGTCTAAGGGTTCCTTTAAGTGATCTATAGGGTTCAGGGTTTAGGGGATTCTAATTAGGGAATAATGTAGCAACCTGATATTAAGAAACCTTGGGTTCAGCACACCCTGAAGTCTACGTTCTGCGGTGCAGGGTTCAAGAGGTTCGCATCTGGGGTCCAAAGCACACACCCTGATTATACCTGAACAAAACCACCGAGCTACAGGTAAAATTCGACCACCTAAACCCTAGGCCCTAAACCCCAAAGCCCAAACCCTCGGCCCTAAACCCTCGGCCCTAAAGCCCGGTGAGCCCCGACGTTAGACAACCCGCGGTGTCTTGCGGAGCCTTGGTCCAACGCCGGCTTTGGAACCTGAGCTCAGTGCTTATTTCCCCTTAAAGGGATCTATAGGGTTCCTTAAAGGGATCTATGGGGTTTAGGGTTTAGGGTCTACTTGGAGGGGCAGTTTACTGAGTAAGTCGTTTATAAGTAGGGTTATAATTAAGGTAACTCCATTTAGGGTACTTATAACTCCACTTATAACCTACTTACTAAATCCCCTACCCCTCCAAGTACCCAGATCCCTGGGAGGATCCAGAAAAAGTAGGTCCCTGTTCCTGTAAAGTAAAGCGTCCTAAAGTAGTTTGGGCCCCAATTTAGGGGATAAAATGTTAAATACTCCCGGGGGTCTGGGTCCAGCGTACATCTATACTACTATCATGGAAGCCGGTCCGAGCAACTGCATAATGATAGTATGTATGGATGCTCTGGGTAGGGGTTCCTTGAAGAGTTTTGGGGTTTGGGGCTTCAGGTGCTTATCAGGGATCCTTCGAAAGAGTCCTTTCACGGGATTCAATTGCAAACGACAAGGTTCCTTGCAACTGACAGTTACGGCCTATGGACGACTTTTGCTTGAATCGCGCCAGCACTTGGGGGGAATCATTGAGGGTCTCCTTCTGGCAACCCCCACCGCTTAACTATACTGAACTTAGAACCCTAGCAAAAATTATATATTTTGCTGTTTCTTAGGGAGTTTGCGGATTTTGGCTTTCTGTAGGCCGGCAGTCCCACCCAATTGTCTTCACTTCCTTTCTCCATTCTCCCTTCCCCCCCCCCCCCCCCCCCCCCCCCCCCCCTCCCCCCGCTCCCCCCGCTCCCCCCCCTCCCCCCTCCCGCCCCCGCCCACCTTCCCTCTCCCCTCCTCCGCTCGCTGACAGGTGCGAGCTTTCTGGAGTTTTCGACAACACGGGACTGCAATGTAGCATCTTTATGTGCGTCTCAGGCTTGTTTTAGACGCCCTTTCGTTGGGATAGGCGGAGTAACGTGGTTGAAAAGGCTGTGATGCTTCCCTAATCCAAGACGCCCACGAAATCCACAGTCTCAACGGCCCATACTTAAGGCATCCCGCCGCTTGCGAGAGTCTTGGTATCCAGTGTTTCGGAATGACGACACCAAAATTCGTACTGATACTACGACTACTAATACTACTCACAATAATCCTGCTTCGTGTTGCTATGAACATTACGTTTACTATAAGTGCGATTCCAACTGTTACTTTTTTCCTACAAGAGCTTGCTGCAGATAGTAGCCACTCGCCGCATGCGCGTACAGCCGGGCCGAGGCGGACGACGCGCAGCGTTTCAAATTAAAAATTAGTTCTAAGTACCCCTAAGGTAAGAGGGCAAGCGTAAGCGTCGTGGTCCCGAAGCACAACAGTGAAAGGGGAAGAGAGGTCTCGCACTAGTCCGGATTCTAGGGAGTACTTAGAGGTTGGGACATAGTACCTATGGTTATAAACAAGGTAACTATACTTATAATTGGTTATAACCCCAGTTAAGGTACTTAGAACTGTACTTACTAAGTCCCACGAACCTCCAAGTAGAGCAAATCTAGCGGGCTATTTATGGAACTTTCAGGTTTTGACGACAACCTGTGCTATCAGCTTCCATTGAAGTTGCTGACCCAGACCCCCGGGAGGATCCAAAAAGTAGATCCCTTAATGGGGGTTCCTATAAACTACCCTTAGTAGTATAGGGCCCCAAATTAGGGGATCTACTTTCTAGATCCTCCCGGGTCTGGGGAGTAGCTTCTCAACTGCATCGGCCTGTCTCTGTGACTGAACCGATGCTCATGGTGCTATACACAAAGCATAGCACCATGATACATCCAGGCCCCTTAAAGCAGCCCCTAAAGCCTAAACCCTACTATAGATCCCTGGGAGGAGCCCGTATAGATCCCAAAAAGGAACCTTGTAACCCTAAACCTTATTATTATAAATCCTTTAAAGGAGCCTTGTTCACCTAAACCCTAAGCCCTATTATAGATCCCTTGAAGGAGCCTTTTATAACCCTAAACCATCTTAAAACTCCCTTAAAGCAGCCTCATCACCTTAAACCCTCTTATGGATCCCTTAAAGGAGCCTTACAACCCTAAACCCCAAGCCCCTTTGAAGTTGAGTCCCGGACCCATCCTGCTGGGCACATCATTTCGTAGCACTGCTGGGCCACGATGATGTCCAGAGGCACCTCTCCGAAGGGTTGTTTTAAGCTAAAATGGTAGGGGTACCTGAGCGTTCCTTTAAAGGTCTGCTACCAGGGTACCTTAGGGTTCCTTTACATGTCCGCTTTAAGGGTGCAACAAGGGTTCCTTTAAAAGTCTGCTATAAGGCTACTATAAGATGTCCAGATGCTCCTTGCCGGGTGTCACAGGTATGAAAGCTTAAAGTCTTAAAGCTTGGGTATCCCAGGTTTTAAAACATGAGGCTTGGGTATGGGGGACAAAGCTGGCGAGATTACCCCTGAGGAATCTTGCCTAGCCCTGTTGCGTTCGCTTTTTACTGCGTTTATTAAGTTGTAGAACCCACTGCAACCCTATGGAAAAAGCTAACACCATCATGAAACGTCACTTTGGAGAGAACAAGAACAAAAACATTATATGTAATATCGGGGGCTTTAGAATCGGAACGGGGTCTTCGTGTTTGCTACAGACAGTATACTATACGTCTACAGGGACTACAGGGGGATATTTTACACAGTCATAAACCCTTATAGAAGCCCAGCAGGCCTATGAAATCATCCAGAGGAATCCTTATCATACCATGGCTACAGACTCTCAATGACTCCTACCCGGTCCCACCCCAGTAACGCAAACCCTCTCCCACGCCCGCCTTCGTGTTGTGCGCGCCCTGGCAGTATTGGAATGGGGAGCGGGGAAGAAAAGAAGTGGGCTTGGTAGTGGTGTAAGACGGGCTTGAGAAGGATTCGATGAGGGCTTGATAAGGGTTTGATCAGGGTTTTATGGAGGTTTGAGAAGGGGTTGACAAGGACCTTTATGAAAGTTTGATAAGGGTGCTGCAGAGGTTTGTGATGGGTGTTCTGTTATGAAGGTTGCAAAGCTGCTTTGACAGGGGGGGGGGGGGTCTTGTTAAGGAAGGAATTCAGTTCAAGCTACATAATGGGGATGCATAGTACACAGGCTTTAACAACTTGAACAGGATGAGAGGAAAATGTTATACTATATCTACAACCGGAACCCAACGGAATTTTATCGGTAAGTCTTGGGGCTCCGACACTAAACCCTGACAGCTCCCACTCTAGTAACCCTAAAGTAACCCTCACATGTGGAGGAGCGCTTGACAAAGATTCCGCAAACAAGCTCCTATGTTACGTGGAACGATGCTCTTGACAGGAACCCACCCAACACAGAAACTTTGGGAAGTCGGATGTCCAGAGCTAAACTTTTAGCCTCCTGAAAATAGTTCATATAGACACCAAAAAAGTTAAGGTCTAAAGAGACAACCAGAAGAACGCCAAGTTTAGGGGCTGGGGTTTAGAGGTTTCGGGCTCAGGGGTTTTGGGGTCAGGGCTTCACGAGGGTAGGCAGCTCCGAATAGTTCTGAGCATGAAGCAAGAATCTACTCCAATACTTAGAGGTTCATGGGACTTAGAAACTGGGGTTATAATTAAGGTAACCATACTTATAATTACTTATAACCCCAACTAAGGTACTTATAACCGTACTTACTAAGCCCCATGATCCTCCCAGTAGTCGTCACAAACTTACGGCGATAGAAAAAACACGACATGCCAGAGTCCCCTTGTTAAGCAAACCAGAGAAGTACACCGCATGCACAGGTTGCTTGCTGACGCTGTCTGTTGGGATTCAGCTTCGCTCTTTCCCACCCGTGATGATTTCTAGGGTCTTTGGCTGGGGATCCCAAAAGCAACTGTTTTAGGGGATCTACCCTCGAATAAAGGGGTCATGACTGACTATTTTGTAGCGCCGGAACAAGTGGATTCTCCTTCTTTCAGGGTACCTTGCCTACTGATTACTCAAGCATCCCTACACTCTAAACCCTAAACCCCCAAACCCTACCCTAAGGGTCCTAACAAATTGGGGGACCTCAAAATTGAGGGTTTCTGAGACCCCAAAGAGACCCAAGGACTCTCCCTGGGACACTCCGGACCTTCCTAGGGAGATACCTGGACCCTTAGGGTAAGCCCCTAAACCCTAAACCCTAAAGAGACGAGGGCCTCCACCAGCAAGTTCCACCGAACATCGTCACTTGGCAGTACGACCTGTGCCGGGCTCCAGAAAAGGGTTCCTTTAAGGAATTTAAGGGTTCGTTTGCTCTAAGATTTTCGGGGGTTTGAAGCCAGAGCCCACGATCAAAATAATTAGATGATTACCCCCTAAGGGTCCATGTGCCCAGACAGTATATACATTGGCCTTAATAGTCTCCGTTTAGGTACTTTGGGACCAAAGTATATACTATCTGGGTACATGGACCCTTAGATTACAGTAGAATCGGCAACAAGCTATACTATGTCCCTGACTATTTGTCTGGGTCATGAGGCTCAAGCCCATCTCTTGCCTCCTGCTGCCAAGGTTTCCTATGACATATCCCTAAACTGCAAGCCCTTAACCCAAATCCCTCAGCGCTAAGCCCTCAACTAATCCGGCCGGTCAGCCGAATCGGCAACCAAGCATGCGTCGTAGCGGAATCAGCAACGAAACCTGCGTCATCATCCAGAACCACTGGCATCGGCAGCGAAGAACCCTGCGTCGGCAACCAAAAACGACGCATCGGCAACCAAGAAGAACCGGGGTCAATGTTCATCGCAATCTTGTTGCATTGTCCAGACGGACCTTTGCAAGACTTGGGAGCAACTGTGCGTGGGATCAACCGCCATCGCGTGGAGGGGGACTGATGTTGTAAGGAACTGCATGTGAGATCAACAGCCATCGCCGTAGGGAGGGGTGGGATTTTCAGGAGCTGTGGCTCTATGCCTGGAATCCACCAGCCTCCAAGAAGGGCTGGAATTTCGAGGACTTTTGCCCTAGATTGAGCGCCATCGCCAAACGGGAATCAACTGCCATCGCCATAAAGAAAAGAGCTAGATTTGGAGCAACTGTGCCTGGGATGAACCTCCATCGTCCTAAAGAGGAGTCGGGTTTTGAGAGACTGTGCCACGGATAAACTGCCGTTGCCTTTATAAGGACAGCTCGACTTTTGCGGAATTGTGCCTGGCATTGGTTGTTGACGCAAACATTTTTAGAAAGCAAACTGGGCACACAAAGGAATCTCGACATAAAGATCTCACGGTCGAGGAGGGACCTGGTTCTCCGGTCCAGTTTTCGCATGACGCAAAATTAGTGAGATCCTTATGTCTCCCAGAAAAATGAGCAACGACACATTTTGTGAGATTTTTAAGTGGTGCTACATAAGTCATATAGTGCCGTGACCGTGCAAAGATATTCCGCAATTCTTTCGGTGGCGAAGCCTCAGAGGCTTGCAGCTCGTCTCAATAAGGGTTCCTAAAGGGATCTATAGGGCAGTTTCCGAAAATTAGGGTAGCTTACCTTTTGGGTCTTTATAATAAGGATCCTACGATTGGGATTTATACCTGGAGGTTCATGGGACATAGTAAGTACAGTTAGAAGTACCTAAACTGGGGACATAACCAATTAAAAGTATAGTTACCTTGTTTATAACCATAGTTACTAAGTCCCATGAACCTCTAAGCATGTCATACCCAACAGTGCGAAAGCTAAGCGTTTCCTGGGTGGGATCTTTATGCTTATGTGCCGTATTGAGGCGTGAAATTTGCTTGACGATGCGGGTTGGGAATATAGTTTCCGCGGCGGGGATCTGTACTTGCTGTTGAACGGATATAAGAAGAAGTGATTTCTTAGTTGCTGATTCGGGCGGTTGTAGTTGCTGACGCGCGTGTTTCGGTTGCAGATTGGTAGTTGCTGATTTGCGCATAGCCCTTAAACGGTAACCCCCTAAATCCCTATAAACCCTAACCCTTTAAAACCTAAACGTTTTTGTATGTGTTCCACCCCGGCCACCCCCGGAAAACATCTTTCAGGGCTGAGCATTGCGCTGAGTCATGTCCACTCGAAGCTATGTATGGGTTATGAGGTTTAGGGTCTAGGGGCCTGGGTTGTTGGACAACAGATGCTTCATGAATCCCGTAGGAATAGTATTGCTACTTACCACATGCATTCAAGACCCTGCATATGCTGCATTCATCAGGCACAAGGAGGGTGGTTGTCAAAATTACGGTCCCTTCTTGGGTACCCTAGATATTAGGTGCCGTACTATAATAGGGACCCAAAAGAGGACCACAATTTTGACAACCACGCAGGAAAAGTTTGAAGTACTCCGGGCGTGAAGTACTCCGTCGTGCAGCTTGGAGCCCTGCTGTGTTTAAACGGTCTTGCATCAAAGATGAAGTTACTGGGTAGCATGATGAGGGAGACCCCTTAAAGGGTACCCCTTCCGAACCCCACTTCTGGCTCTCTTAAAAAGGACCTTGTTGAGAGGGTCTATATCCCCGAGGGTCCCCCTAATCCTAACTCCCAGTTACAACGTGCCCAACTCCAAATTCTAAAAGTGTGACTTCCGCCATCGCCGTTCAACAAGCAACAGGCACAAACTCTACCGCAATACTTCTTTAACATACTGAAAAGTTTGAAAACAATGCCCAACATTTCAAGCGCCTAAACTCTACAACCGTAAAAACGGAAACCCTCAACTCCAAATACCAACCCCAGACCTGCTAAGAAAACAGAGAAGACAAGGTAGGCTCGAATCCGCTTGCACCTCCCTCAACCCTAAAACCCCAACAGTGGCTCTACCTTGGTCTGAATGCCACTGATGACGTTGACTTCGCGATCCATGCCACCCTTGTCGATAAAGACCTCCACCTGGGCGGTTTAGGGCCATTTTAACTGACGAAATGGATACGCCTTTCATGAAGCATCTACGCTGGCAATAACACTAAGAAGCCTTGTATCATTGAAGGTACACTCCGTAATTACAGGGAATGGGCTCACTAGCTAAACAGTTCTGAAGCTGTTCATATGTGCTGATGCAAATGCCCCTATCATCGTAACCCTAAACCCTGGCCCTAAACCCTAAACCCTACGGTTCTGGGTCTAGGGACACGGAGAATCAGCGGCCACTTTCATCACATTCCACGGTGCGGATTGCAGACATGAGGCATGGACCCTGTCCTAACCCACATGCTGTCCAATAAGACCTAATTAAGCTGGGCAGCCCGACAAAACTTCAGGCATCCCTTTGGAACGCCGATAGAGCCCATATGAAATCCGTAAAGCCCAAAGCGTTATGAGATCGCTTAAGGCGTCTTAGAATATAGTGTATAAGATATAGAGAATATGCATCGTGTATAAAACGAGGATATACTGTATATAGCATATATATATATATATATGTGTGTGTGTGTGTGTAGTAAAAGTATGTACATATATATATATATATATATATAGTTACATACTATACACACATACATATATATATATATACACATATATATATATATATATGTATATCTGGTGTATACATAAATATGTACATAGAGTTTATGCGGCCTATATACATATATATATATATATAGATATATAGTGTGTATATATATATATATATGTACATATATATATATATATATATATCAGTTATAAACTTGTATGTATCGTTTATATAGAAAGTATATTAGGTTAGTTTTGTAGACAGTGAATATAGTATAGATCGTGTGTACAGCATACTGCATATATACAGCATCTCCAGTACATGCAGTGTGTATGTGTATACTTATATATATATATATATATATACACATCTATATATATATATATTATACATAGACCGTATATACAGTGTATATACAGTGTATGTAGCCTACAAATTACACAACCAGTATGCATATACGTATATGCACATGTGTGTATAGCACACAAGTAAATATGCGTATATAGTTTATACAATATATGCAGTCTATATATTGCATATACCTAAATATCACATGTAGTATGTGTAGTCTATACAATGCAGAGTAAATGGCGTACATAGGTGTATACGGTTTACATAGGCCTTCATGTATGTGTATATATATATATATATATAAATATATATAGAGAGAGAGAGCTTATGGACTATATACTGTACATAAACTATGTGTCTAGAGTACATACAATATGTAACTCTATGTATGTATATGAAGATAAGACAACATGCATTATATGTAGTCTTTGCTCTTCAAGTATACATCTTACAACCCTAGAGAAGCTTTAGAAGGTTTTTTTTCGTGAGGACTTTGGTTCCTTGAGGGCTCCTTAAGAGTATGCCCTCCAGTAGTCAAGACAAAACTGCCAGCAAAAGGGAGGAGGATTACCCTTAACACTCGAGGCAGGCAGACGTCATGCATATTGTGGGGTGACAAAAAGGTGTATAAGGGGATATGGGAGTTTCCGAAAATAGGGGTACTTATCTTGGGGTCCTTATAGAAAGGATCCTACTATTTAGGGTCCTATATTGGGGTCCCCTATTTTCGGAAACTCCACTAACTTTTTACCGAACGCTCAGACCCCTGCATCGATGGGAGTCCCTCGTAACATATTCCAAACCGCAGCCGCCAAGACATCAACACCCCGGAAGCTCCCTAAACCCTAAATCTTACAGACGACACGAACCCTAAACGGGTTTAAGGTTCATATACCATATAGGGGTTCATCATAGTATAATGGTACAACGCCCCTACTTTTAAGGCTCATTTGCTTTAGGGAATGATGCTTCCCCAAGCGAGGAACACGATGCTGAACCTCCTAGCAAACCCAGGCTGGCCTTGAACCCCCAGCATCAAGACCCAAAACCTGAGGCAGCGGGTTTAGGGTTTGGGACTAAACCGTGCGTCAATCGCCATCCTGGCGAAAACCTAAGCAAATGAACTCTCTCGGTGCGCTGCGCTCGTCGTGTCGAACCTGGCAATCCACGCCGATGTGCATCAGTACCCCAAAGGGCCCACGAGTCCGTAATGAAGGAATACACAAAACAAAAAACATCTAGAAGGCTCGACATTAAGATGTCAGGAAATTGCACTACTTGGTAGCCAGAAAAGCCAATAGCTCCAAGTATATTCGATGATCCTTTAAGGTATAGGCCCACTGATATACCTTCAGGTTCAGTAATTTTCAAGGGTTTGGCGCTCGCTGCCCAGGCGGTCTCGCGCTGGCCACTTCTTCAAGGCAGTTTCTAAGGTTTACCTGGACCCTGGAAAACCTTCCTTTTCTAAGGTTTCCTAATGTGATTTCCTTATACAAGTCCTTAATAAAGAGGTAGGTTATGTGGGGTTGAGGTAGGGTCTCGGGTTTGCGTTGCTCCCTTGGTTTGGGTTCCTGGTGGTGGGCTGAGGGGCAACCTTGAGAATGTAGATTCAGGACAAAGACCCTGTTTTGGGGAGCTTGGGTTTATGCCCTGCGGCAATACTATTCTCTACGGTTGGTTCTGAAGAATTACGGTTCGGAGTTCGGACCCATGGAAACAATATCCCTACACCCCAAACCCTAAACACTTAGAGGTTCATGGGACTTAGTAACTAGGGTTACAACTACACTTATATGTACCTATAATCCCAGTTAGGGTACTTATAATCCCAATTAGGGTACTTTTAGCTGTATGTACTAAGTCCCATGAACCTCCAAGTAGAGCAGGCAATGGAAACCCAACGTCAGGCGAGAGTCTCGAGTAGAGGATGGTGGGCTTCGGGGATGTGCCACCGTAGTTATGCACGTCATGTAGGGCCTTTAATAAGATGATGCCAAAAACCCTATTCTACTTATTTAATAAGTAGAATGAGGTTTTGGGCGTCATCTTGTGATTCTTTCACGAGATGTACTATGCCAAGCACTTCTTGGAAGCAGGGGGGTGCTCCAGAATGCTCGAAGCCGGCGGCTCGAGAAGCCAAAATATGCCTCTGGCTGTGGCAAGCAACATGAGAATCAGCACACGACCTGCCATGATGTTCCCACTGCGTACTCCTTCACTGTGACTCCGGCCCAGCGGCCTAGCTTTTGTGCGACATTGTGTCCCACGGCTCATGAACACCCAGGAGCTGCACACAGGAGCTGACAAGCAGCCAGATCCAGGTTTTAGATTGCAAAACTGGAAAGTCGCGTTGACAAAAGCGGAGCTGCTAAGTATGTCCATATTGTTGGCATGCAATTTGATCTCTCAAACGGTGCAGCTCTACGTTGCGGGGTCCACGTGACGGACACGTACCCGCGAAGAGCTCCACGTGATCTGTCGGGGTGTCCCAGCCAAGGCCATCTATCGAGAAAAGTAGAGACCCTAGCGTGCCCGGATAAAACAGAAAAGCTGGGTCACGTGTTTACGCATTGTTCAACGATGGGATAAGAGTGCTCGTTAGGTCATCAGCAGAACTGCCAAGGGAGCCTTCAAAGCCCGGAGTCCATCCATAAAACCCTAAACCCTAAACCCTAAACCCTAAACCCTAAACCCTAATCCAGCGTCGCTGCAGAATAAGGGGTCTAAGAGTTAGGGTTTCGGGAGTAGTAAACCACAAAAAGTTGGAAACCTGATTCAGGACAGTTAGTCCTGGCACTCCTTATACCTTACTCTTAAAGACCTTAAGGATTGAGTTTCCAACTTTTAGGGCTCCTTGGCTGACTTCTGAACCCCTCCTAAAAGTTAAATTTTTAGCCTCCTTATTTTAATCCACATACAAACCCCAAAAGTTAATGTCGAAAGAGCCAACCAGAAGAACGTCAAGAAATCCTAAACCCTGGATTTCCTCGAGTCCGCCGAGAAACGGAGCCCACTGGGCTTTGGATTAGGGCCCTCCCAAAACCGTGCCGTCGTTGCAGTGCTCATAGGGTTTAGGGTTTAGGACGGGGCTTAGTAAGTACAGTTATCAGTAGAATAATTGGGATTATAAGTACATATAAACTACTACCCCAATAAGCCACAGAAATAGGAAGGTTAAACTTTCCGATTCCTACTAAACTATAAGAACCCAAAAAGTTAAAAGGTTGAGTACTGGGGATCTAAGATAAGTGTAGTTACCCTAGTTATAACCCTAGTTCCTAAGTCCCGTGAACCTCTAAGTAAGCCCCAGAAAGTTTAAACTTTCAGATCCACGCGGGTTTAGGGTTCAGGGCACATGGGATAATGATACCCCAACAAGTGTAAAGTGCACTGATGCAGTCACTAACAGGCAATGGTGGATTAAGGTAGGTCAGCTTGATTTGATTGTTCAGGACCGTCCGTTATTTGGATCGACAAGTACATGTTCTGCAAGGTTCGACCTTTCCGCAAGTCAACCTTAATTGGGATAGGGCTTCGATAGCAAGGGATTCTTTTGAAGGCTTCCACAAGGGTCACTAAAAGGGTTCTTATATGTAAGGGCAAAACAGGCCGGAGTAATAACTACCAAAAACCCTAGTACCTTTTCTTCAGTTCCTTACGTGTTCTCTCATTGCAGGATGCTAATTATCAAGTAGGCTTTCCCCCAAAAAAAATCAGGTACTCCGAGCCAGGGTCTACCCGTAGCCCCAAACCCTACAAAATGGTAGGCTGTGGCCCGTTGCATCGTTGGCCTCACCCTTAACACAGTGGGGTTTCGGATCCACAGGTGGTTTAAGCCCGAGTGCCATCAACACAAGGCGGCCGCGCGTCACGATGAGGTCAAGTGTCCGGGTCCTTACGTGCACTTCTCCAAAGGTCTCTTAGAGCGTTTAGACTTAAGGGCCGTAATAATAATCACAATAGGTGATGCGGACTTTGGGTAGATTATCGTATGATCAGATTTCGGAACTCCCAGATGTAAATATAGGTAACTATTCAGGCTTCTGTATTACGGCTTTAGCACTTCAGGACGGAAGATTAGAGTTTGGGACATCCGGGTTTGAACTTCTTGGGTTTCTTGGCTGACTTCTGAACCCCTCCTAAAAGTTAAACTTTTAGCCTCCTTATTATAGTTAATTTAGAAGCCCAAAAAGTTAAAGTCTAAAGAGCCAACCAGAAAAACGCCAAGTTACCAAGTGCCATGCTCCTCCAAGTAGACCCTAAACCCTAAACCCTATAGATCCCTTGAAGGAACCCTATAGATCCCTTTAAGGAGCCTTTTAAGGAGCCCCTGATGAAACTTGACCAAGGGCTGGGCTGAAACCTCTGGAACCTGTTTGCAAATATGATCCTGCTACTTGGAGGTTCATCGGACTTAGTAAGTACACTTATAAGTACCCTCATTGGGATTATAAGTACATATAAGTGTAGTTACCTCAACTATAACCCTAGTTACTAAATTCCATGAACTTCGAAGTAGGTAAGAAATGCATAACATCCATTGGCCTAAGTTGGTGGCTCTGGTGTGTTCCAAGGTAGGTTGACTTTTACTTCAAAGGCCGTTTTACAGTGTAGCAGGCTTTGCAGGGCTTTTCTCTCTATAGCTACCTTCTACCAATCCCTAAGGGCCCATGCGCCCGAAATAGTATTGCTTTAAGGGTTCCTTTAAAGAGTTCTATAAGGATTCCTCTACAAGGGCTCTATAGGGTTGTGGGTATAGGGGTGCATGTACCCAAATAGTATATATTTAGGTCCCCAAGTACCTAATTATATAGGGACTGCTTTAAAGCCAAAGTGTATACTATTTGGGTACATGGACCCTTAGGGCTACAGAACACGCTTAAAGGAACCCCTACAGAGCCTTTAAAGGAACCGTACAGTTATAGGTACCTTAGCTGAGTTAGAACTAGCTATAACTATAGCTACCTTAATTATAAGTTACTAAGTCCCATGGACCTCTAAGTAGACTTAACTCAGGAATATACCATGAACTATATTAGGGATCCTACTCCAATGTAAGGTATGCTGCTTGCTTGAAGGATTTAGGAAGGTCTGGGTAAAAACGAACATGGTGACTGCTGTTTTGTGCAGTGATTGCCTTACCTTGCTGCTCTTCACCATAGGGGAACTACATGAGAGACACCCCCCCATCCCGACGTTTGGAGTTGGAGAAGAACATAAACAGAGAATTCTTAGAAACTTGATACGAAGGAGCCCTAAGTAGAAGGGCCTGTGATTCCCATGACTCACGCGTGCTGAGTTCTGGGCCCTCAAACCCCCCTAGCCCCTAAACCCAGGACCCGAAAGAACCGAAGCCACAGAACCCTTACTTAGAGGTTCATGGGACTTAGTAACTATGGTTATCATTCAGGTAACTATACTTATAACTAGTTATATCCCCAGTCAGGGTACTTATAACTGTAGTATGGCTTCACGGCCGTGATTCTAACGAGCACCCATAGGATCCTGATAATGGAACCTTACAGCCTTACCACCTCCAAGGCGCAAACCCAAACCCAAACCTCAAAATCCTAGACCCCGTCCCTCCTATACCTCAAGCCTAGACCCTACACCCCTGTGGTCTTCATCCAGCCCACCTTCGTCCCACTTTTTGAGACCCGAAACCCTAGACTCCAAAGGCCCACGAGAATCCCTATAAAGCCTACCTGTATCCCCAAAATAGTAGGTTATGACCCATTTATTAGAGAGAGAGTCTAACCCCTAAACCTATAGGTTTTTGGATCACCAGGTAAATACCACCAAGCGGCGTCGTGCGGCAAACGATCTTGTTGGGCGTCTCGGGATCATCGGTCTCAGCAACTACGGGCGTGGGCTTGGGCTTTAGGGTTAGGGCTCAAGTTTGGGGTTGGGCTTCAGGCTTCAGGGTTGAACCTGAACCCTACAACCCTCACGCCATAGACACTCCAACCATAACCCCCAAAACCCCAAACTCTAAACCTAACACCCTCAAACCTTAAACCGCTGAACCCTAAACCTTGCAGGTCCAAGTCACGTGTTCTCTGCCGCACTTGCCGTCTTGCGGCCTGGCGGATTCGCTACATTGTGGATACTTGAAGGGGTTGCAAAATCTACATCAGAGTACTCAACATCGCAATGCGGAAGCCTCCGGATAATCCATTCACTACTGCCGTAGCTATTACAGGAACCCTTAACGTTACCCTTGGAAGCCGATATAGCATGCCTTCGAGTAACTTTCATAAAAACCCGTGGTAAAGGCCTATAAGTAACCCCTGTGGCCCTATGGTGTAACCCATGAAGGAACTAAGAACCCTTCAACAAACCCTGACAAGCACCCTTCTTAAAGGTTAACCCTGCAAAAACCCTACAAGCAACCTGAAGAAAGCCTTGCTGGTACTGAACTATACTGAACTTAGAACCCTAGCACAAATCACAATTTTAGCTGTTTCTTAGGGATTATAATAACCAAAAATTACAAACTATCTCTAAGTACTCCTAAGTGAAAGGTATCTGTAACAAATCCTACAGAAAGCCTTGGGGGACCGCTCAGAGGTGTCACAAGTTGCCCCTGATATTGAACAGCAAGACTTGAAACAACCCTGAAAAACGTTACGCGTTCAAAAGCCCCGTAAGTGCAAAGGCAAAAACCGCTGCCATGTGCGATGTGCTTCTTCATGTATGTTGAAGTCATCCCAATCAGCACATGGCATATGATGTCGACTCTATAATCTCGCTGCGATGACAGCAATCTGGTTCATAGCTTCCAATTGCTTCGTAGCATGCCCTGCCCAGCTTTGTTTCTGGACACATCTCTCGAACTCTGCGATTCACATTTCGCCGGCTATGTCATTCCTTCCATCTCCATTGATGATCAATCTTCCTTTCACGTTCTGGAATCTGTCGGTACGAGAAACCAGAAATTTGGCTTCTTCGTCGCATAAAGTGTGGACGATGGTGGCCTTAGCATGTTGAGCCCTCTCCACACGTAGTGGATCCGACTCGACCCATTGAATTCCCAATGGTCGAAGTCACCCTAAACCCTAAACCCTAAGCCCTAACCGTGTTCAGGTTTCTCCCTGTTGGGGCCCGCCAGGAGGAAGCGGCGGAACTCCGCCAAAGCTTGGATGCAACACACAGCAGTGAGGATTACAGGCTTCAAAAACTCCTAACTCCAGCACTGAATCCCGTCTGTGAGTGCAAACAGTTTGGCGACAATTATATTACAATTATAATAAGACTAGTGGTGGTGGCTTTACACGATTGAATCTGAGCCTAACCTTCCGAAGAAGCTCACGAAAACGTGGCCCGAACACTGTTCCGAGGATGCCGGTATGGAGGACAAGTACAGATGTTAACGTGATTTAGGGCAATTTAGGGCCTTAAGAATCATAGTTGGGTTTCGGGGTCTATTCTGAATCTAGTACAATTACATTGAGGAACCCTGCGGCATAGTACTGGCAACTATAGAAGCTTCGGTATTACAGCCGAGTCCCTTATAGTAGAACCCTTGTCGTAATCTGCGCAGAACCCTAAGCCCTTCAAAGGCACCCCACTTTTCGAATTGCCCACACAGAAGCTTTACGTCGTATTGTCGGTTTGAGATTTAGCGCTTGGGGGCTGGTCAAACATAGGGGCCTTTATGATTGCACTAGGGTTTCGTGATGTGTTACTCTATATGCAACTTCAATACGGAACAAAAGGACAGTACCGGTACTGATCTAATATATGGTCCTTATTGGTTAGACTAGGATCGTGGGGCCGACTCTACTGTATCAATAATAAGGAACCCCCGAAAATAGTATTGGTATGTATATAGGCCTCTATATTAAGCCTCCATAGTAGCACTGCATGGGAACTACGGTTGATGATATAATTTGCACTGCATGGGAACTAATATCAACAGCCCAACTCTGGTAGATTGAAACTAAGTGCGCTTTTCTTCAATCACCTGGGCCCCCAAAAAGTTCAAACTTTCTGAGGTAGACTAAATACATAAGGCCAAAAAGTTTAAACTTCTCCCATTGGCTAAGTAAGAGTCCCTGTCACTTGCAATCTCAATCTTCGTTTCCCTGCTGACCATGCATGGTGAACAACCTGCTTTCCTCATGAAGTTAAGGGTGTTCCAGGTTCCGAATCTAATGTTACCGTAATGAGAACCTCATTATGGTAGCTTCTTGAACTAGACCCAAGAGTAACCTAGGAATAAAAAGGGTGCCCTTCTTGGTTTAAAGAGGTTTAGAAGGGAACCTGAACCCTGAAAAAGGGAATAAGGGCTTACTCTGGGTCCTAGAATAAGAATCTCATGATGGTAGCTTCTTGAAGACAGAACTTCAAAGTAAATCCAGGCTTTCTCAAACCGTGGCAGCATTGCATCAAGTGAACGACTGGAAGCACAAAGTTGTCCTGGGGCTTCGGCTACTACAATGGTTGAATGACGGTCCTGTATATTAAGGGTTTAGGTACAGGGTTTTGAATTTGGGCTTTTGGATGCAGTGTGTTGAATTCTGGGTTTAGGGGTTAGGGTTCCGGGTCTTGGGTTTAATGCTTTGGCTTCACAGGGTTGGGCTGGAAGCAGAGCCGACCAGACTGCAGGCTTGTATGGAAACCTTACCTACATCCAACCCGAGTACATCTTAGCTGCTGAGTTCAGATGTTAAGATTTTCTTACCAAGAGAACATACTAGCTGAAAAAATCAGAAGTGTACGCATTCAGCTGCTTAGACAAGGCCGTGGGTTAAGGTTTCAGGGTTCAGGGTTTATCTGCGTACAGAAATCGTTCGCTGAAAATCAAACTACAGTACAAGGATTGACCGCAGCGCTCAGTAGATGCTCAATGAGGCTACCTAGAATTTTTAGAACATTAACAGTGCTCTGCAAAGATTTTCATGATCTAGAGTTTACAGTTTAGAGCTTTCACATAATAACCTTCTGTATGATCTGGTAACTCGAGCCTTCGGTCCCTTGTGGGGGTTACAGGATTTTAGGGAGCGTTTGAGCTGGCGGAACACATCCCGGTACGTTCGGTCTTATTTGCTGGATCGTTACAAACCCAACGCCTTTCGACTGTTTCGTTGAGGCCGATAAGCCTGGAACCGTGAGAAACCCTTGAATTTAAGTTACCATGATAATTAGCCCATAGTATTTACTATAGATCCCTATTATGGTAACTTAAACCCTAACCCTAAACCCTAAACCCCATTACGGTAACTTAAACTAAATTCCGTATACTGCGACCGAAGGTCCCCCTGAATTACTTACTAGACCTAGGGTAACCTAGGAATCAAAAGGGTGCCCTTTTTGGTTTAAAGGGGGTTATAAGGGAACCTAAACCCTAAAAAACGGAATAAGGGCCTACTCTGGGTCCTAGCTTATGGAAGAGTACTTGCTGAAGAAGGCCTTCCCAAACTCCGCGATGTCGGACTTCCCATTCTTCACAAAGCCAAGACTTTTGGTGAACAATGCATGGGAAAACTGCTCACCGTCGTCGCATTCTCCGATAACATCGAAGAGTTCTCCTGATCCGTTGACGAAATTATTGATGTGCATCTTGACCTGCGCATCAGGCATGCCGACCGTGCACATCAACAGAATCAGCGCAGCTAAGAATGCCACCAATTTCGTGTGGAAATTCATTATTGGAGTACCGCTGTCCCCAATTTCCTGGATCTTCTCTTCCAACATCCTCGCCTCGTCTTGAACGCGGGATTCATCGGCTCCATGTTGCTGTGAACCAGCACGCTCCAGTGAGGTTTCCAAGGAGCGATCGCAGAACAGGCTTCTCTAAACTGTATAGGTTTAGGGTTTAGGGTTTCCTCAAACCCTAAATTCCCTAAAACACTGAACCCTTATAGTATAATATAGTGGTTTAGGGTTTCCTCAAACCCTAAATTCCCTAAAACCCTGAACCCTTGTAGTATAAAAAAATCCTGAACTAGCAATCGGACCTGAGGCATGAATCATCGGAAGGGTCCCTAGAGTTCCCTCAAAAACGCCTAAGGTTCGATATCAGGGGCCCATACTTCTTAGGGTTTAGGGTTTAAGGTTCTTGAAACCTTAGAATGAAGATTCAGTTGTCGGCTTTTTCCGGCTAAGACTTAGAATCGGCCCAGGGTTTAGGGCTAAGGCTAGGCCCTCGGCTAGGCATATGCAGAATATATATATATATATATATATATATATATATATAAATATGTATGTAAGTATGTATGTATGTATGTCTGTATGTATGTATGTTTGTATGTATTTATACACTCACACACAAACGCACATGTACATGCAATACCCTTATGTGTATACATATACATATTCATACATACATACATACATATATATATATATATATATATATATATAAATATGTGTGTATACATAAACTTGTTACATATGTATCAATCCTATACATATATGTATATATATATATATATATATATATATATATATATATACTTACAAAATGTGTAAATGCATGAGTGTGCATATCTATGTACACTATACATGTATATGAATATATATATATATATATATGTATGAATATTTAGAGGTGTACTCCTGTCTGTATGTATGTGCTTATGTATTTTGTATTTATAAATGAGGGCCCCCCGAAGGCCAACGTATACAGAATAACGGTGCGTAGACGCCTGGGGTATAGAGGCGTAAGGGTTCGGAGAATGAACACTTACAAGCATAAGTGGCATAACCTACTTCAGCGCAAACCACACACAGAAAGTCGAAAACCAGAGTTGGCATAATTAAGTGTAGTAAACGTACTAACCCGACTAGTAACTGACAAGATCCTTCAGGTGCCGTGAGCCTAATTTCGAAGCACCCCCCAGCTGCCTTCAGGTGGGACACGTGGATCTGCACAGAAATGCGTTGCAGGATTGAGCTGGCGTCATTGAGACTAGCTTACTTACGCATATCAGCAAACATGTGGCGGAAGGAACCAGCAAAAGTCACAAAAGCTCTCGACACACGATCTCCGAAACAATCTGCCTCAAGGAAGACTAGACCCTAAACCCTACGCTTCAAGCTTTGCGAGAAATTTCTTGGACACTGTTTCGTCTGATGGCGCGTTTGGCTGGAACAAGCGTGTTCATGCGTGAAAAGCTAGCTGGGTTTTGAGGGCTTTAGGGATTTAAGCTTTGTGGCTTTGTTACCCAGGGTCTTTCTCAATCACCAAATGGCAGCCATGGCACAAACGAATTACAACGGGGCGGGTACGTCTGAAGACCTTTCTTAGCTGACTTCTGACCCCCTCCTAAAAGTTAAACTTTTTGCCTCCTTATTATAGTTCATATAGAAGCCCAAAAAGTTAAAGTCTAAAGAGCCAACCAGAAGAACGCCAAGCTTTGTATTGCTGAGATGACCCTGGTAATGATTGCTACGTATCGTGCCTGTCAAGCAGAAGACGCTGCTGGCAAGTACTGCGGTTGATGATATAAATCCTGCATTACCTTACCCTAGCCATCTAAGGACTCATATATTAAGGCTTTTGGGCCCAAAGACCATATTATGTAAGGCTTTTGGGCTATTTTGATGCCAAGGGTTAAGGACCCTAAACTATGGGAATTATGGTATATTCCTTATTTTGGGGTAATGCAGGATTTATATCATCAACCGTGTGACTGCTGTCTTGCCCAAAGGGTGCTATGTACCGATATAGTAGAATGTGGGGTTTCCATACTAGGAATTAAACTAAGTAACTATAATGGCTTAGGGCAGTATTCCCCATAACAGTACATAGGACCCTTTGGGTTGATAAACCCCAAGCCCGATAATGCCCCCTCCGCCTGACCCGCCTAAGGGTCCTTATGACCCCCAGCTTCACGACTCCTCAACTGAATTCCAAATCGTTACGCCTTTGGTTTCTATAAGGGCACTGGTGGTGTTTTGTACAAGTTCCATCAGAACTTTGGGTGTTTCTCCCCGGAGGGCCCCCGAACCAAAACCCAGAACCCCAGATCCTGGAAACCATACACACTATATGCAAACCAAATCAGCCCTGAACCCTATAATGAAGCCCTTACCCCTAAACCCTAAACCCTAAACCCCTAAACCCTAAACCCTAAACCCTAAACCCCTAAACCCTAAACCCTAAACCCTCAGCCTACGAAGCCTAAAACCTGAATCCATAACTCCTAAATCCGAAAAGCAGCCCTTCGAAGAACCTGGTAGGTGCGGCTCAAGACGTTCTTCGACCACCTGCGCTCAGGGACTGTGGCCCTGGAGCCAAAACGCTCGGGTGTAGTGTTTAGGTACTTAGGATTTGTAAGGTTTAGGGTTCAGGGTTTGGGGTTTAGGGTTTGGGAGGTGTTTAGGAATTGTGGGGGGTAGGGGTTCAGGGTTCAAGGTTCAGGGTTCGGGGGGTAATTAAGGGTTTAAGGGTTTTGGGCTTGATTGGGGGGGATTGGCTGTTGTAGATGCCAGGGTTTTGGGTTTTGGGGGCTTAGGAAACCACCAGACCATCCCTGCTGGATACTTGGAGGTTCATGGGACTTAGTAAGTACAGTTATAAGTACCCTAATTGGGATTATATGTACATATAAGTGTCTAAGTAACTACCCCCATTACCTAAGCACCTAAAGCTTCGGGTCCTGATGGGTTTAGGGGTTTGGGGTTTAGGGTTTGGAGTTGACGGTGGATTATGGCAAGACCCTGCACACACCACCAAGGACGGTCTCACTGACTGTTGAATCATGTCGAAACCTCACTGTTCAGACCTCTGCATTGCATGGTTGCCAATAGTGAGAAAGAAATCCTTTCCGAGTATTGCTAGCACAGGCACACTGGTTGATGGGGAACGATAAGGAGCTGTTGCTACTGATTGTTCACCCCCTGTCTAGACTACGTCTTTCCCCGATAACACAAGGAAAGAACGTGCAAACCTACATACTGTCACTTACTGCCAGACTAAACCCTAAAAGCCCGAAAAACCCTCAATCCTATCCCAAAGGGTTCAAGCACACAGATAGTAGGGCTTCAGGAAGCAAGCCACTGAATGCATAGTGTTTGGGAGCTGAAACCCGACAACTTGTGTACCTGGGCCCTGGAGGTCTCCTTCTTACGGTTGCCTTCTGTAACCCATAGAAGGTTAGGTTAATTGAGGGTGTATAGGTAGCACCTGCATGCTGAAACCTTACGAAAGAGTAGGTTATGACCCCATAATCATAGGGTCTAACCCCTGAAACAGTAGGTTTGTGAATCCCCAGGGATATGCTATCACTCGCGGCCGAGTGCTTCTTGCCCTTTCGGTTTAGGGTTTAAGGTTTAAGGGGGTTTGAGGGATGGGGGTTCTTTAGGCTCTGCCTAAAGATCCCACAAACCGACTGTTGTATGGGTTAGACCCTATGGTTATGGGGTCATAACTTGCCTACTATTCTGTAGGGTTTGGGGATACAGGTAGGGTCTAAACAAGCCCTAAACCCTAAATCCCAAAACCCTAAACCCCTAAACCCTAAACCACTAAACCCTAAACCCTAAACGCCTAAATCCCAAAACCCTAAATCCTGATTTTTGGTCTAGGATTCTTTGAGGCTTTCGGGCTGCTCGAAGCCAGGAAGGCCTCGCGTTGGCATAGAGACACTCGACCATCCAGGTGACCTCTGCGTGAGCCAGATCTTTCAGAGCACTCCAAATCCCTTCATTGCGGGAACTATATATATATGTAAGTAAGTACTTACCAGTATAGTTAAGTATACATAAATACATATATATATATATATATATATGTATATGTCTGCATGTACAGATGTATACTGTGCATATATTTATATATAACACAAATATCATAGATACCCTCTGAATCTACAATCGTACGGGGTCCTTGGTATAGTCTTGGGTCTACTCTTTCTATGGTTACCTTTAGCTGCAGACTTCCAAGGGTTGGGGGCCTTCAAGCTTTGAGGCGTACGATTGGAGGAATCCTGGTAGCGTTTAGGGTTTAGGGGTTTAGGGGTTTAGGGTTTAGGGGTTTAGGGGTTCAGGGTTTAGGGTTTAGGGGTTTAGGGGTTTAGGGTTTAGGGTATCCGCAAACTATACAAAATACTAGGATATGACCCCTACATGAGAGGGTCTGACCCTTAAAAAGGGAGGTTTTTGGATCCACAGGGAGGGTCGATATACACTACTATTATGGAATCAATTCCCCAAAGACCATCCTTACTGTGGTTTTGGGGACCTAGTTCCATATTGACAGTTTGTATGGACCCTCTGGGTCATGATATAACGTCTACACGGCAACAACAAACCAAACAACAACATGGATCCTAGTGTAGGGCATCTCCCCTAGCTCAGGTATATTGTACATTACACCATCTGACAGAAAAGGCGTTTTAATAACCAGTCAAGTCAGAGGGTTTTGGAGGATACATCAAAGCGTATCATTGTATAGTTTTACATAACTATTAAAATCATGGGCTCGATGTGAAAAGGGCCTTTTATGGCTAGCAACTACATACTAGCACTCTAAGTCTACACCCCGCAATCTTCCTACAAAGCCTTATATACAGAGTCTATTCCTACAAACCCCTACATACACTCAGAATATAGCTTGTAGACTGCAGGCATGCAATCCCTTGGGAGCTCAAACCCCGGATTCCAGACAAAGATATACAAAACCCAATCTGTTTTCAGTGCACAGCCTTGAAAGTACGAAGATGTGGCTGAACCAACACCCAAGTTCAGGCTTTGGGTGTTCAAAAACTGAATTAACGACGAGCATTGCTTCTATCTTCAACCCCCAAACCCTGAAACACCTTACATACCTCGGAAACCAAAAGACCTACAATCTCAAATGCCTGTTCTGCCTAGTAACACATAGTAACTATTGTCTACGGTTTAGGGTGTAGGGCTTCTCTACCCTAAACTCCTGGAGGATTGCATTGGTACTCCTCCAGAACACCCTCAACGCTAGATATGCCAGTCTTGAGCGGGCTTGTCCAGGTTTCCCGGTAACCCCCTAGTTCAAGCACCAAGCTCGACAACCCTAAACCATGACCCTAAACCCTAAACTCTGAAAACAAAATGGGGGGACGCTGCGAGAGTGCGGTGTTTGGGGGGTTTTCTGTGCTCCAAGACTTCTTTGATTACGGGTCCCTAAACTTACTATCCTGAACTTACCTTAAAGGGTTCCTTCAAGGGATGTATAAGGGTGCTATAAAGGAATTAAAGGATATTCTTACTATCCCAATAAGCCACAGAAATAGAAGGTTAAACTTTCCGATTCCTACGAAACTATAAGAACCCAACAAGTTAAAAGGTTGGGTATTGGGGATGTACGTAACTTGCGGTTCAGCTTCAACACCCATACTGGGAGGATCATGGGACTTAGTAAATAGGGTTATAAGTACCTTATTTAGGGTCATAAGTAATTATAAGTATGGTTACCTTATTTATAACCCCAGCTACTAAGTCCCATGATCGTTTAAGTAGACCCTAAACCCTAAACCCTATAGATCCCTCTATAGAACCCTATAGATCCCTTTAAGGAACCCTCTAAGGAGCCCCTTAGAACCCTAGTTACTAAGTCCCATGATCCTTTAAGTATCCCGGAAGGATCTACAGCACTCTTGACTGAAAACGGGCCCATCGCTGGGGCTCCACGTATACAAATAGTACCTACTTTGAGGCCTAGAGTCTATCAAAGGGGAAGAGGGGGGACCCTTAATGGGGACCCCTACCCTATAATGGGCTATATAATGGGTATATAATAGCTATATTAAGGGTATATACCTCGGGGTCCTTATTAAGGGTCCGTCCGTTGACCCTTGGAGTCTATAGGTAATATCTACTTTGGGCCATTTGGAGCCCCAGAGATCTTAACCTGCGGGAGGACCAGAGGGCACTGTTTTCTCAGAGCCTTCAGGCGGGTTTGGTAAGGACGCCCGAGCAAAAAAGTACTACTTACTACTCGAAGACCTTGTTGTGGCGATCGCTGCACAGCCTAAACCCTAAACACTGAGAGCCAGACGTGAGGAACATGGAGGTCGGTCCACACCGTGGCGCCTGGAGTGCCGGGCTGAGAAAGGGATTTACAGGCTTTGGCTTCAAGAGTTAAGGGTTTTGGGGTTAGGGTTTAGGGGTTCGAAGTCTTAGGCAACCCTGAACCCTACAGTAAACCCCATAAACTTGGAAACCGGATTAAGGCCAAATAGTGCTGAGTTCCCTATACGTTACTCTTAAGGATTGAGGCTATGGGGTTTCAAACTTTTGGGCTTCTACTGTAAACCCTCGACACCAAATCCCAAAACCCGATCTCTCCGAACCCTGTCTGGCACTAGGCTCACGGATCTTTTAACACACCTTACTTCATCAGAAAACTTCTGCTTAGGATGTAGTAAGTTGTGAGTCTCGACTTTAGCTTTATAGTCTGTGATGCCTAGGAAGTTTAATCCACCCTTGTCTTAATAGAAACAATAGACAGAGCCCTATACCTATATCCCTTAGTAGGAATTATTTGAGAAGGTCTACTAGCCGGTCTGTTTATTCTTTTGGGGGAACTATGAAAAAAACCCTAAACCCTAAACCCTAAAGGACAAAGCGTGTTTAACCATGTCGGATGCCCGGAAGCCCGAAGCACCAAACCCTCAAATGTCGAAGACGATGGTGCGTTTTGGTAAACACCGAAGCAATGCAGGCTTCAAACCCTCAATGCTGAGAATCCTGCTGAAAGCCGCTTAGGGTTTATAAAGTTCGGAAAATCGAAGCTTTTAGCATGAAGTTGAAGATAAAGGTGTCCTGACCAGATTCACCACTATGAAGGGGAATCCTGACTTGATCAAACACGTACAACATCGAACAAAACCCTACACAACCCTGAATCCTAAACCCGAAAAGCCTCTGGAGCCTTTGAGCCCTGGAAGAGTTTTTGAAAACAGGGGTACCTTATTTGGAGGTTCTTATCATAAGGATCCTACTATTTAGGGTACTAAATTAGGGTCCCCTGTTTTCGGAAACCCTAACATCGCAATGCCTTAGATCAAGCCAAAATCAACAGTTGAAACCAGGGCCCCTAGTATGGGCCCTTAACCCTGGGATCCCTAAATACCTACGATATACCCATATCGACTCTGAAGGGTGCTTAGAACTTCCTCAAAAAGGCCTAAGGGTCCATATTAGTTTCCCATACTTCCAACCTCAGACAAACCCTAAACCCTAAACCCTTGGCCCTAAACCCTTAGCCCTAAACCCTAAACCCTAAACCCTAACAGCCTGAACATGGAAGCACTAAGAGCCGAACGCACTAGGCTCTGCTCAGTGGCACTTTTTGTAGTGTGGGGGGAGGTCGAGTCAGAGGTTGAGGTTTAGGGCCGACCGTCACTTTCCATTAAACCCCTAAACCCCCAGACCCTAAACCCGTAAACCCCTAAACCCTAAACCCCCAAATCGTATAAGTGTTTATCTAGGCCCCTATAGATACTATCCCAACAAGCCACAGAAATAGAAGGTTAAACTTTCCGATTCTCACTGAACTATAAGAACCCACAATTTTTTTAAAGGTTAGGCATTGGGGATCTAAGATAGATCCCTTAAAAGAACCCTTAAAGATCCCTTTGAAGCAACCCTATAGGACCTCTTTAGAACCTGATAGGTTAGGCATTGGGGATCTAAGGTCATAAATAGAGAAATGACCTTAGTCCTTAGGGCTTTAGGGTTTTAGGGCTTTAAGGTTTTAGGGTTTAGGGTTTAGGGTTTTAGGGTGATTTTCTTCAAAGGGTTCAGCATTCCTTGCAGTTCCTTTAATCAACCGTTGAAACCATTGTCCCCTAGTGTGGGCCCTTAACCCTGGGATCCTTAAATACCTACTATTATATATCTTATATAGACTCTTATGGGCCTCTAGAATTCCATGAAAAAGGCCTAAGGGTCCATATTAGGGGCCCATACTTCTAACCTTAAGATTTAAGGTCACCATGAAGGTTCCTATGACTGTTTAGCACGGAAGACCCTCAATAAGATGGGTACCTTTTGAATTGGATCAGGCTTCCTTTTGTTAGCTAGAGCTTCATAAAGGCTGTTGTGAAAAGGGTTGTACAAGGGCTTTATCGGGCTTTTGGTGATCAGAGGGCCTGTACAATTAGAACAGGGATTCGCGCTCGCGCTTTCATGCAGGTGATCTGCGACTTGTCAGCAAACGCGCCGAAATCTTCCCGTTTGTCATCGGCGACGAACACAACTCGTACGCGCTCTGAACACGCGGCATCTACTAAGTATCCAGAAGCAATGCACGCGCTGCATCGGGCCAATACGGCAGTTTCAGCACTGGTCGACAGATCTCGCCGCTTGGATCCAAGAGGAAGGTCTTTTGCAGCATGAATCTCTTGTTAACAGCGTCTCACAGGTCAAAAACAACCTGCTGCAAATTAAAGTCCCTTTTGAAAACACCAGCACCTTTAAACTGAGGGTTCTCTGGCGCATGGGCACATGCCCCTTGCAGGATACAGGATTACCTAGTTAGTGAAGCCAAAACCCACCTGTTGCTTCACTTTAGATCATACCATTACGATCATAAGCCTGCTAAACCCTAAACCCTAAAACCCTTAACCCCAAACCCTAAACCCTAAAACCCTAAACCCAAAGCCCTAAAACCCTAAAACCCTAAACCCTAAACCCTAAACCCTAAAACCCTAAAACCCTAAAACCCTAAACCCCTATAAAGCCTAAACCGACAGGTTCGTTTTTTTCGGAGTTGCCGGGCCTGGGTTCGATGTGATAGGCATCACCCAAAGGGTCTCCTAGGTAGTGTTACGGGGTGATACGATTTAGGGCTTAGGGTTTAGGGTGTAGGGTTTACGGTTTAGGGTTTAGGGGTTTAGGGTTTGGGGATACGTTCCCAAATCATAAAAAGGATTTCCTGATATAGAAACCCTGCATTCTACTATATGGGAGTTTCCGAAAATTAGGGATGCCTGATTTTGGTGTCCTTATCTTCAGCATCCTATTATTTAGGGTGGATGAGGGCCCAGAGTTTGGGGCTTGGAACATCGAGAACGCATCACCAATCCTTGCAGCTGCTCGGTATCCCTGGGTGTTTGCTCCAACTTATGCTTCTGCCGAGTGCAGGGTTTAGGGTTAAGGGTGTTCAGGGTTCTACTTAGAGGACCATGGGACGTAGTAAGTAAGGCTATAAGTTATTTGCGGTTATAAGTGGTTATAAGTATGTTACCTTAGTTACGACCCCAGTTACTAAGTCCCATGATCCTGTAAGTAGGGCTCTGAAAGGTCTTGCTTCCCACAGGCATGGACTGGCATACCCAAAGGCTCCATGTACCCATACGGTGGTACTTAGGGCTTAAAGTGCCCATATAGGCACCCCTTTATAGAAGAAGCCAGAAAGTTGGAATATGATTATCCTAACCCTTCTATGGTAAATTACAGGGTATCCTACCATGAAACCATATTCCAACTTTCTGGAGTGCCCTGTAAGGCCTAAGTACCTACTATATGGTCACATGGAGTCTGAAGCTTGGACTGACGTAGGTACAAAAAAAGTTCAAGCCAAACAGTTTAATACAGGGGCATTCGTAATAAAGTAAAAGCCAGAAAGTTGGAATATGATTATCCTAAACCTTTTATGGTAAATTATAAGATATCCTACCTGGAACCATATTCCAACTTTCTGGAGTTCCCTTTAAGAATAGGGGAGTGAGGCCCATGATACTCTAGTTCTAATAAGGAGCCCCCAAAACAGTTTTGGTAATTATTGAGGCCCCTAAGGTATTGGTTTGTTCAACCCTGAAAACTACATTTACATTTGCCCACGCACCTCCACCCCTAAACCCTGAACCCTACAGTAGAAGCCAGAAAGTTGGAATATCATTATCGTAACCCCTTTAAAGTAAATTATAGGGGATCCTACCATTAATTCATATTCCAACTTTCTGGAGTTCCCTTTAAAACCCTTCAAGTTGACTGCCTTGGCCCACTGATTGGCCATTGACCAGCACATCGGTAGCGAACTTGTTGCACAGGGCCTTCGACACTTTTACATGGCTTTTTTTAGGGTTTAGGGTTTAGGGTTTAGGGGTTTAGGGGTTTAGGGGTTTAGAGTTTAGGGTTTAGGGTTTAGGGGTTTAGGGTTTAGGGGTTTAGGGTTTAGGGTTTACAAACTGAACTTAGAGCCCTAGCAACAATTATGCTTTTAGGTGCCTCTTAAGGGTTAAAATAACAAACAACGAAATTACTTCAAATTAGGGTGTAGAGACTAGCGGCTGGGCGTTTAGGGTTTGGTTGAGGGGTTTAGGACTGAACCCGAAACCTTCCCCACCTTCGTGTCTGTTGTAGCAAACCTTGACCAAACTGTTTAGCCGACGATACGGGCCTTAAGAATTAATACTTAGTGGCTGTTTAAGTGAGTGTTTGTGTATATGCAAAAACTATGTGGGGCATCCGTACTGCTGACCTGAACTTAGACCCCTACCAAAGATTCTAATTTTAGCGGTTTCTTCGGGATTTATTACAAGAGCCAAATATTAAAAGTTGATTCCAAGTACCCCTACGACTGATTGTTGAGAGCCCTATATCAAACTCCGAGACCCGGTGGATGGTAAACGGATCTTAGGGTTTAGGGGTTTAGGGTATAGGGTTGATTGGGTCAAAACGAAAGTCCGTTTGGCATTCAGCGCACACCAGCTTGCGTAATACCCTGGAACTTGTATAATCCCTTAAAGCCCTAAAAAAGATACCCAAAATCCTACAGCCCAAAACGCCCTCGAACCGCTGACCCTGCTCGAAGTGGCGCTTGCCCTATGCGGCAAAAGCCCCTAAGCCCTGAACCCTCAACCAGCCTCAACCCTAAACCACTCTAAACCCAAAAGCCCTAAACCCTAAACCACCGCCTTAACCCTAAACTCGCAAGTGCCGGGTTCCTGCAGGGTTCACGATTTAAGGTTCAAGGTTCAGGTGTTTATACAGGGACACATGTACTTATATTCCCAATTAGGGTACTTGTAACTGTACTTGCTAAGTCCCATGAACCTCCTAGCCGGGGTTCGGGTTGTGGGTTTAGGGATTAAGGGATTTGGAAACCAGCTCCCGAAACCATGCTAGAAGCCCAACCACCTGCTGTTGCAAACTAAATTTTGGGTGCAGCGGCCATTTCTTGGTGCCACAGTAAAAACACCCGAACGTTCAATCCACCAAATTTCCTGAAATATAGTGAGCATACCTGGGGTACCACTTAGGGCTCCTTGGGAACATTATTGAGTGTATCTTTGGATTTCCTACTTCGAATAATCATCTGAAGCGTCATAACAGTAGCCCAACTAATGTATCAACCTCATCCTCTCGCACTTCTCCGTCTGCTGAACGACAGGCTTGTAGACGAGGCCCTTTCCACGTTGGGGTCTTGCTTCGATACTTCCTTGCGTGCAATGAGAAGCGACACGAGCGCCCGTGAACCATGCGAGCAGCAGGCAGCAGCTTGGGAAGCAACTTCCTGATGCAAATTTACTGTAGCCGGGGTAGTTTTATAAGGAATCTGCAACTACCACAGACATGGGAAAGCATGCCCACCGGGGCACCTAGCCGCTTTGAAGACCCCAACACAAGTCGATCTGAAAACTGCACACCTCTGGAAAAAAAAAACACCTAGAAAACCTTGTCGCAAACCTTTCCACAACCAGTTCACACCCCCCAAAAACCAGACCCCGGACCCTAAATCCTAAAAACCCTGCAGCTCCGAACGCTGAACCTCGAAGCCCCTGAATTCCTGAACTTTGCACCCTAAACCCAACATCAAATCTGACCTCCGAAACCCAGATACGATATGCTTAGAGTTTAACGTTATGTTCAAAACCTCTTGAAACTTTCAACGCAGGCTTATTTTAAAAAACACACACACACACGCAGACACACACGCACACACACATGCGCGCAAATATGCTAACACAACCCAATGACAACCCGGTTAACAAGGCTTAAGTCCAAAAGTCATACTCACGACGTACAACTGCTGTGTAAGACCTAATAAAGCCGCATAAGTTCTTGTCTAGACCGGTTGAAAGACCCTGTCAGCCCTATGATGCCCATATAAAACCCCAAACAAGCGGCCGACAGGACAGAGCCTGCAGGTAGTTCATCAATAGAGTTAAATGCACTTTAACCCCAATTAGGATCCCACTTAAGGCATCTATATCTCTACTACCCTAGAAGTCCTGATACTTTTTGGGACCGTTAAGACTGATCAGGACCTTTGAGATCCAAAGAAGCCCAAACACTTTGGAGATTGTGAACCCTCCCAATGATACCCAAACACGTATATTACTCCTAAAAACCCGCAACCCTAGACCGAAGTAGGCGGCCTTGACATTGGCACCTTCCTCGCTTGATGGAAGCGTGTACCTCAGTTCAGGGATTAGGTTTATCAGGGCTGTACACGGCTCAAGATTCAGGTTTGTTTTATGACTTTGCAGAGTGTTTACCGACTACCGGTGGGTTTGATTGAAGCGTGTACTTGGCATTTTATATGCTTCCTATGTTTCTGAAGGAGTGTACAAGCTTCCTATATGGCCGTTAAGCGGTTTTCATAAGATTTTTGGAATGTTCAGGACTTGGGGCTTTAAGGTTCTTCTTCGGGAACAGTACCCCTCAAGTACGTATGGAGCGTGACTCCAAATCATAATGAGAAGGGCCCTTTAGAATGTGAGGGGCATGTTCTTGAAAGTCTATAGACAAACCCCCTTTCTACAGTTCTATTATGTGGCAATGCCTGTAAAACGGTGGATTCTTTCCTTGGCTGACTTCTGAACCCCTCCTAAAAGTCAAACTTTTAGCATCCTTATGATAGATCATATAGAAACCCAAAAAGTTAAAGTCCTAAGAGTCAACCAGAAAAACGCCAAGTTTCTTCAACGGCAGGTTACAGGCAACCCTAGAATCCATAACGTTTCGGGGTTCGGGGTTTCTTTAGTTCTCCTTGAGGAACTTGGAGTAAAAGCATGCCATAGCGAAGAAGCTTAAGCTCGGATCACTGCTCCTTTAAGGGCCCCTGTAAGAGTTGCTATACGGGTTATGAAAGGGTTTCAGGGTTTGGGGCTTAGTGCTTGTGATATTTTGTCTATGTTAGTGAGCTGGCTAAGGAAGATTAACCTCTTGTGTAAGGTTGTGACGGTCCCGGAGACGCCAATATCCCTTAGTCAAGAAATATACCTGAAATCATATCTTCAACGAACGGGCAAGTGTGCCACAGGTCATACTTGGTGGGGTGAACAACACCAGCAAGAGAAACGAACTTTGTAGTTGAGCAGGCAACCTGCAACTTCATACTTGAGCCGTTTCGTCTGCCTGCGCTCAGATCCGGCCGCCCGCTGGATGACCACGTGCTCAAAATCAATCCTGCTGCTTGCCAGGCCGAATGCCCCGAAGGAAGCATCGCAATACTTGAGCAACGTCGTGTTCAAGTAGTTCAAAGGCTTGACTTGGAAGTCGTCCATACCCACCTTGCGCGAGAAGTCGTCCTCGTGCCGAACATAGGTGCCGTTAACGTCCCTGAGGCTAGTACTGCCATCTGAAGCAAAGCATCGCACGGAAAAAGGCGCATAGGGTGTCACAGCATTGATTTGGGCCCCACTCTACACCCTGATACCAGAAACCACTTACCAGATCTAAACTACCCTAGGCTGTACCTGGGGATCCGAAACCCTACTGTTTTAAGGGTTCTACCCTCTAATCAAGGGGTCATAACCTACTATTTTGTAGGGTTTGGGGTCACAGGTAAACCCTAAACCCCCTAAACCCTAAAGATCCCTCTAAATCCCTGAAAGCCAAAAGAGTCCCTAAACCCTAAACCCCTAAACTCTAAGGATCCGGCTGTAACCCCGAAGATCTACTTGGAGGGGCAGTCGACTCAGTAAGTCGTTTATAAGTCGGGCCATAACGGTTGATGATATAAATCCTAGGGTTCCTTTGAAGGGATCTATAGGGGGTGCCTTTTAGAGGCCCCTTTAAGGGATCTATAGGGGGTTTAGGGTTTAGGGTTGATGATAGAATCTGATAGACATCCTGCATTACCCATAATAAGGAATATACCATAATTCCCACAGTTTAGGGTCCTTAGCTAATATCATCAACCGTAATTGGGGGGTAACTCCATTTAGGGTACTTATAACTCTACTTAAAACCTACTTACTAAGTCCCCTGCCCCTCCAAGTAGACCCTAAACCCTAAACCCCATAGATCCCTTTAAGGAACCCTATAGATCCCTTTAAGGAGCCTTTTAAGGCACCCTTGCTAAGTCCCCTGCCCCTCCAAGTAAACTTTGCCCCTAAACCCTAAACTTTGTTATAGTAGGGCCCTGGCCAATACTCGCCAGTTTCATGCTTCTCCTGCGCAGCAGAGTGCAGGCGACTTCGGGGAGAGCAGAAGAGCAGCCAGGTATCAGGGTCCTTGCTGCTATATTCCAAGGGTAAAAGGAGGGACCCTATAACAAGGACCCCTAGGTATATAATATAGCCACTATATACCCATTATATAGCCCATTATAGGGTAGGGGTCCCCATTAAGGGTCCCTCCTTTTCTGCTTTGGTATATGTTAATACGTACTGCAGAGGTTTGAGGAATAGTAATCAAGATAATCTTGCAACCAATTTATGACGATACCGAAACACATTTACAATCCTAATCTACCTATTAAGGCCCCTTACCTAGGCCCAATACCACTCACCCTAACTCTTAGAGTGCCTTTCAAAGGGAATCCTATTCGAACTATTACCCTAAGGGTCCAAGTACCTGATAATCATATACTCTCCCAACTTAGTGACTAGTAACCTCCATAACAACTCTCCGAAACCTAAGTACCCGACTATTGGGTCCTTGGGGCCCTTACGGTTAAGGCCCTCGAAAACTGGGCGTGCGCTCCCTGGGCTGCGGAAACCCTATAGTAGAAGCCCAAAAGTTGGAAACCCTGTAGCCTCGATCCCTAAGAGTAATGTATAGGGAATCCCAGCACTATTTGGCCTTAATCCGGTTTCCAACTTTATGGGGTTTGCTGTAAACCCTAAACCCCGAGCCTAGAAGTTCTAGAACTCGGTACCATAATTATTGGGGAACAAAAAAGGGGCTCTAATTGGAGGATGGGACTGAGCACTTAGGATTTTACCCTAACCGTGATTGCTACAAGTCATCTTGGCTGACTTCTGAACACCTCCTAAAAGTTAAACTTTTATCCTCCTTATTATAGTTCATACAGAAACCCAAAAAGCTAAAGTTTAAAGAGACAACCAGAAGAACGCCAAGGAACTATTGGGGAACGAAAAAGGGACCCTAATTTAGAGAACTACCCAAATAGGTTCAGGGTTGGGGTTTACTTGGAGGCCCTGTTGACTTAGTAAGTCTACTTAGTATCCCCTAGAAACCCCATTATAATCCCCATAACCCACCTTACTAACCCTACTTACTAAGTCAAAAGGGCCTCCAAGTAGAGTGTTCCGGGGTGCAGGGCTCAGGGTTGAGGATTTAGGGTTTAGGGTTTAGGGTTTAGGGTTCGCACAGAGGACGCCCTGAAGAGGCTGCACTCGGGTTCTAAGGGTTCCAGAATCGTTGCCCCTTGAAGGATTTAGGGTTGAGGATGTAATTACCTGAAGAATCATGGGACTTAGTAACTAAGGCTATAAACAAGATAGCTATACGTATACTTCTTGATTACTGATAGTTAAGGTACTTATAACAATACTTACTCTAAGTCCCACGAACCTCCAGCTATGTGCCTTTTTTCCTCCACTCTTCCACAGCCAGAACATCCCAGCGATGGTCTTACCTTTGGTTAGTAGGGAATGGAAGAATGGTAGTAATAGTAGTCATAATTGTACCACATTCCTCCATTCCCTACTAACCAAAGGCAAGTGGTGCAGAAGGTCACCGAGGTACCACCGTAGCCCTCGGAGTTTGCCTCCAGGTTCTTGCAGCGAGGCTCTGCACCCCAACAGGTTCCCCCAAAGGGTCCAAGTATCATTGTGGGTATAGACTTATGCTTAGGGTTTAGGGTTTAGGGTTTAGGGTTTAGGGTTTAGGGTTTAGGTATACTTATAGGGAATTTGGGGGGTCGAAGTATATATACCATAATGATACTTGGACCCTTTGGGTTCATGTAGACAGATGCTCGTGGCTCGCCGTCCGCCAGGAACGCCGTCTGGAAGGCAGCTTCATCAATCTGTCCAACCTTGTATGGGTCACGTCTATATGTGAATAACATTGACCCCTGATTAACAAACTCACTTGTCTTGATGGGCCTGATCGAATCCGGGGGTCTAATATAAGGGGCCCTTCCTCATTTCAGTAGGGTTTAGCCAAAGACTCCCTATGGCGAATCGCAAAGCTGGAAAGCGAATACGACCCTCTCGATGGACATTTGGCCATACACGGCACTTCCTGTACTGAGGGTATTATAAGGGCCTGAATAATTAGACTAGGGTTTGGGACCCATTATACGATATTGTTAATAAAGAACCCACCAGAATAGTGCTGGTAATCTTTTAAGGCCCCTATATTATGCTTGCCTTTGTTTGAATAGGCAACGAGAGTGGAGAGCTCGAGCCTAATAACCCCGAAACTCTAAGGGCCCATGTGCTCATATAGTATATACATTGGCCTTAATGTAGTCCCTATTTAGGTACTTTGGGGCTCATGTATCTCTATATGGGTACATGGACCCTTGGGGAAAGCTAGAAAGCCTAAAGCCCAAACAGCGAACCATCCTCGGGCACCAAATCCCTTCTAGAGCCCTTATACTTGGAGGGGCAGGGGACTTAGTAAGTCCCTTATTAGTAGGATTATAATTGGGGAAACTCGATTTTGGGTACTTATAACTCTACTTATAACCTACTTACTAAGTCCCCTGCCCCTCCAAGTAGGACCCATTAACGGCATCCCTGAATCGATGAAAGCAGCGTAGAACCCTGTGTGTTCAGTATCTTTGGGAGCAAAGACTAGCCTTTGGGAGTAGATGTACCTTGATAGGACTTACTACCCCAATAAGCCACAGAAATAGAAGGTTAAACTTTCCGATTCCTACTAAACTATGAGAACCCAAAAAGTTAAAAGGTTGGGTATTGAGGATCTAAGAGAACCCCTATAAGACCTTTAGGTAAGCTTTCTTCCCAAGGACTAGGCCCAAGTCGGCCCGAAATCCCAGGAAAGGCTGGCACAGAGGAGGCCTCTTAGGCTACTTGGAGGTCCATGAGACTTGGTAAGTTAGCTTGTAAGTTGCTTGACTGGGGTTTTCAGTGATTATTATAAGTATGGTTACCTTGTTTATAAACCCAGTTATAAGTCCCATGATCCTTTGCGTAAAGCCTGAACCGTAAACCCTTTAAGCCCTTAAAGGGAGCCCTATGATAGAACCCTATGGTACCCTTTTAAAGGAGCCCTTATCACCCTAGTTAGTAAATCCCATGATCCTTTAAGTACAGAGCCCGTTACGCAAAGGCTCCATGTACCCACATAGTATATACTTAGGCCGTAAAGTACCTATATAGGGACCCCTTGAAGGCCTAAGTATCTATGTTGCAGTAGATACTTAAGCCTTAAAGGGGTCCATATATAGGTACTTTAAGGCTATAAGTATATACTATCCCCGGGAATCAACATAACCCAAAAGCCTTACATAATATGGTCTTTCGGCCCGAAAGCCTTAATCTACGTCTACGAGTCCTTAGGCCTTAGATGCCTAGAGGGTATATGGGCTGACATGGAGCCTTAGGTGAACCCTTTAGCAGCTGGGAGCCCGGGCTCGCGTCGGATGTAACAACGCCCCGTTGCCCATGCTCATCTGCGTCAAGGACTTTTTTTGAGGGGGGGGTCAGGGATTTCTAGGGTTTAGGGGTTTTAGGTGTTTAGGGTTTAGGAAAGACTCTTTGGGCTTTCAGGGGTTCCGGAACGCCTTACCTGTGACTCCAAACCCTACAAAATAGTAGGCGATGACCCCTTAGTCAGAGGGTAGAACCCTTAAAAACGGTAGGTTTTTGGATGCCCAGGTAGGGACTCTTTTGGCTTTCAGGGGTTTAGAGGGATCTTTAGGGTTGAGGATTTAGGGGTTTTGAGTTTAGGGTTTCAGGACTCTTTTGGCTTTGAGGGTTTAGAGCTTAGGGGATCCCGTTGAGGGGTCCGGGAAGGACTCTATAAAGGTACGAAAGGTTTCCATAAGGGTGAAATAAGCTTCTAAGGACCTTAACTGGGATCATAAGCATGGTTACCTTATGTATAAACCTAAGTACTAAGTCCTATGATCCTTGAAGTAGGGGCTCTACATTGGATTTTGTGGTTCAGGACTGTTTGAAATTTTCGGTAACAGTGTTCGGGGCGTATGTGCTGCAACTTGAGAAGCTTCACTTGCCATCAAGTCTGCCCAGGATGCAGCAGGCTTGCTGCCACGAATAAGTGGAGAACCCTAAACCCTAAACCGTCAAACCAAGCCATGTGAGCCATGACTATGGCCACAAGTCCCAGACTCCGACGTGGAGTCGATGAACGACTGGTAATTGGGGCCAACGGCGATGTTGCGCCTGCCAATCGCCGGTCGGCCGGACTTCCCCGGCCACATGGATGAGGTGGTTGGCGCATTGCAAAGTGCGGCTGTGGCTGTACGTTTTAACGTGGACCGAGATTGCTCTGGGCCCTAGCGCTCCGCGCGGCCAAGGCTGCACCTCAGAACACAATGGCCTTTACGGTGTACAGCTTGTTGCACATGCTCATGTGCGCAACGGTTCTTATTGGCCTCTAGCGGTCTACCTGTATCCCCAAACCCTACAAAATAGTAGGTTATGACCCCTTAATTAGAAGGTAGAGCCCTTAAAAAACGGTAGGTTTTGGGATCCCAAGGTCACGGGGATAGGGGGTTATTTAGAACCACGGGGATAGGGGCGTATTTAGAACTTCGCATTTGTGTGCAGAGCTTCGGGTTTACGGTTGTTGCAGGATGTTGCAGGGAGGCCCGGTTCATCTAGATACGGTTGCATGAAGCGTTTAGGGTTTAGGGCATACGGCTTAGGAATGTAGAGGTTTAAGCTTTCGGACTCAGGCTAAGGGCTTGGGGTTCTGAACCTTATATCCCAAACCTTGGGTATCGGGGGGTCTGGGTAGTAAGATCCCTGTCACGCACACCCCGGAATCCTCAGTTCGCAGGGTTACCCTCAAGCACTGGGCCCAAGCCTAAACACCTGGGACCTCCGAACAACTCCTGTAAACCCTGTACATTTTCGTGTCAAAGCCGTAAGATGCCTTGTCGTTTCCTGGTAAACCAAAATCCACAAGCACCGCACTTTGCTGTAAACCCCCAAGCCCAAAATCCCGAAACCCTCAAAGCTACTATTGTGACTTTGAAGAACCCTTTAAAGGAACCCTTGTAGAACCCCTCAGCCTATCCCGTATACCTCAAAGCGCTGCACCTCCAGGTTGTCAATCTTGACCACCTGGTAGGAGGGTGCGAGAAGAGGGTTTAGGTCCAAGTAGAAGGATGCTATAAAAGGATGTTCGCACAGCTCTTCATAGGATCTATGAAGGGTTCCTTTCAGGGAATCTATATGGATTCTACCAAATGAGATTCTGTAGGGTTCTTGAGGGTTTTGGGGTTTGAGGGATTTGGGTCAATGACTTTTCGTCACCGCAAGTGCGCCAAGCCCTTCGGCTGTTGAGGTGAAGAGCTCAGGATCTGTGCAAGCAAAGACTAATCTAGTGGCCTCAATAATTAGAATAGGGTTTCCGGGCATATTATACTATACCGATAATAAAGATCCACCCAAAAAAAATGTTTAGGTAGTTTATTGAGCTCCCTACAGTAAGCAGGAGTAAGTTCCCCAGTAGCCTTTTAATTGTACGGGAGCCCTTGTTCTTACCATCTTGTTGTAAGAAATGAACCACCCAAAACAAAGCAAAAGGGCAGTGCTGAGGAGTCCAGGCAAGCAAGGAGTAAGCAAGCAGACCAAAAACATGTGCCTAAACTCAAAACGCGAAAGCCTAGTTTGTCACACACAACCCCCACCCCCTCGTACTCAGGAACTCTATAAACCCTATGCTTAAACCCCAGGCATTACATCAAACGCTGACCCTACGGTTGATGATATATATATATATATATATATATATATCCCGCATTACTCATAATAAGGAATGTACCATGGTTCAAATAGTCTAGAAAACAGGATTTATACCATCAACAGTATCAGGGGCTTGGACGTTCAGGCTTCTCCGAATCTAAACACAGCTGGATATCACCTTGCTACAATTTCCCCAAGGGTCCAGAGGACCCAATAATCATGTACTCGGTTTTGGGATAGTAGTTATGTAGGTTAGGATTTTGGAGAGTATATGATTATTGGGTACTTGGACCCTTGGGGTTTCTTCCTGACACGAAGTCCCCGGAGAGCCCATTGAGGAAAGGAGAACACCTCACATCACAATATTAAATGCTCTCCTTCAGTTTGAAGTCTATGATTTGTTGGGGTTAAGGCTTGAGAGACTGCCTGATCGAACTCTGGCGGCTGCAGGACGCGGATGCGATACTCATTGGCCTCCCAGGGAATTCGGAGCTGTCCGAAGACTCTGCACATTTCCGGGCTTAGGCGGTGGGCATATACCTCTAGAGCAACAGTGAAAACACCCTAAACCCAAACCCCCACAGGAGTTCTTGCAACAGCAGCCAAAACCACTATAGACTAGAGCCGGGAGCAACACTTGGCAGAAGAGTCAATGGTTTGCAGCTTTTCTTGGCGATCTTGATAAGTTCTTGAGAGTGGTCCTTATGATGGGGATCCTGACATTTAAACTTTACGGTGTGTATCAAGATTCAGAAAACTTCACGACTCAGCAGAAGCATAGAAGCAGTATGGGGGATCGCACTGGCACTTGTTAGCAGCCGTGAGAACATTCTCACACACATGCAATGACAAAAACGAACGGAGTAGCAGTACGAAGTGACTAACGGGGCACTGTGCTCCTGCCGTCTGAAAACTCATCCGCGCACAACTTGCTGTGAAGAGAATACGGGCATTTGTTTACCCTAGCTGCTCTAGCTCCCGGCATGACAATTTAAGTAGGGTTTCTGCAACTAAACCAGGAGCTCGGTGATGGCTAAATCCTGCATTAATTACCTCAAGCAGTGGATCATGGGACTTAGAGACTAGGGTTATAGACTAATCAATAACCCCAGTTGAGGCAGTTATAACCTTAATTACTTACTAAGTCCCATGATCCTCCTAGTGGCCCTGGGTGAACTGCTGTATTGTTCTCACTATGGAAATTTGCAAGGCCCTAGACCCTAAAAGTTTTGCCAATCGGCAAAACGTAGACATACGCACGACTCTGCGTGATGCTGTGACCCTAAGGGTTCAAGTACCTAAGTACCTAATAAACAAATATTCTCCCAAAAAGTAACCTCCATAACTACTATCCGAAGCCTAGGTACCCGATTATTGGGTCCTTTGGACCCTTATAAGGGTGAGATTGAGAGTTCAGGCCAGGAGGAAACCCTCCAGTCACTGCAGGACCCTGAAATGTCGTATGATGTGGGAACCTGATTAAGAAACCCTGGCCCTATACCCCAAAATAGTAGGATTCATATAAGGAACCCTAATATAAAGGCCCAAAATTTCAGGCTCTTGCATTAGTGGCCTTGTCAACCTTGTTGATGGTGGGCGGAGGCGTTCATACTGTTCTACAACAAAGAACTCTGGTACAGAGTTGTGGGTGGGTGAGTGGGCGGGCACCGGTGTTTGTTGGGTGGGTGGTTGTACGCAGGTAAGTTTAGATGGACAGGATGCCGTGATATATCCTTAAACACTAGATGATCATCATAGGGATCCATGCATGGGAAACACCAACTATCACACCTACGTAAAACCCCTGGTTCTTTGTGGAAATTCTCACCATCACATGTAGAATAGACCTGTAGAGCCCACCTAGGAGCTCCGGTACAAGTTGAAGCACATTCCCGATTGGAGGAACTATGATAAAAGTATAAAGTACTTTCTAACGCCCTATAAGACCCTTGTACCCCCATAAACGATAAGTACATTCCTTGATTCCGGCTCAGACCAGAGAGCCTTCCTTTCCAGGATATCTTATGATGGCTTCCCTGTCCTCAGAATTGTAGGTCTTTCAGGGTTAAGGAAACGTGTTAAGCGCACCCATTCAGCTACTAACCCTAAGGCTCCATGTGCCCATATAGTCTGTACTTAGGCCTGAAAGTACCTACATAGGGACCCCTTTAAGGCTTAAGTATCTACTATAATGGCACATGGAGCCTTTGGGTAAGCTAATCCCTGAACCTTAAATCCCTCCAAGGACCTCAGAGTCAGGGCCCTGGACCCCTTAAGGACCCCAGAATAAGGTCCCTGGAGGCATAGGGTAAAGACCCGGCGATCCAAGTTCGTGACCCGGGGCGGTTTCGGGATGCCGAAGAGACCGCTGGTCGTCCCTGCGAAAAGAAGCACTGAAGGAGGGCTTAGGGTCTACAGGAGTTTAGGGTTTAGGGTTTAGGGAAAAGAAGCACTGAAGGAGGGCTTAGGGTCTACCTGTATCCCCAAAGCCTACAAAATAGTAGGCTCTGACCCCGAAATTGAAGGTAGAACCCCTTCAACGGTAGGATTTAGGATCCCAAGGTAGGAGTTTAGGGGTTTGAGGGTTTAGGGCTGTAGGGTCTTGGGTCTACGGTTTTGCGGTCTATGGCTCTAGGGTGTATTAGAGTGCAGGTCTTAAGATGGCTCTAAGTGCCCCCTCGAAAACAGGACAGGGACTAGAGTTGAATGCTTCAAGGCTAGATGCGGCACTTCTGGC